GGATGCATTCCTGTGTTTCTTATAGCAAGATAATGCCTGTATCAAGAGGTCACTCCTTCCTTATGGCAAGGACTATTTGGTTGTGGGAATAGACTACCATTTCTCTTTCTGTATTTCTTACTGAAAATAACCTTAGCTATTTCTGTTGTATCACATGCTCATGTTACAAACATCAAAATTACACATGCCAAAAGAACACACTGAAAATTCTGAGATGATCAAAAGCATCTTGCATGTAAGTGAAATGCATGAAGAAGTGATTGATATCTATTATCTTTACCGAATCTTTGCAGAATGGGCAAGTTTCTAACCGTCAGCTGACCAGGAAGAGTGTATCACTCACGTGACAGCCACTTGAAAATCCAAACTGCTGTGCAAAAATCATAAACAAGTCAATTCTTGTTTGAGGAGTGAGCCAAAAGACACATTTAGAATTAATAGCACAGAAATGAAGAACTAAGTATGGGGGATTTCTTTGGTTGGCACACACACACACACACACACAGAACTGATCATCACCAAATCCCTAGAGTCATTTTAGATGTAGAGACCAGCAAGACATCTGGGGATGCTTGTGTTGCAGATTTACAGCAGTTCTGTCTAGAGCATTTGATTTTTTTTACATAAAATAAATGAATGTTTTTGATATATTTAATTGCTTGTTAAAGGGACTTGATATACTCCTTAGAACTGTAATAACTCAGCATTATATATATGATTTACATATTATATGCAATGGATTTATATGTATATTATCTATCTATCTATGAAGGATTTATTTAGTTGAAAGGTGGAATATATTTTCCATTCACAGGTTCACTCTCTATTGGCTTCAACTGCCAGAGCTGAGCCAGGCCCGAAGGAGGAGTCCTGAACCCCATCCATGTGTCCCACATGGACAGCAGGGACTCAAGCACGTGGACCATCCCCCACTGCTTCCCCAAGTCCACCAGCAGGGAGCTGAATGGGAAGTACAGTAGTGCGTACCCAAAGTGGGGCCTATGTGGGATGCAAGTGTTGTAGGCAGCAGTTCAACTCATTGCATCTCATTGCTGGCCCCTGTAATAATTTTCTATGAGGGGCTGGTGCTGTAGGCTTGCATGTAAAGTCCTTGCCTTGCATGCACTGGGATCCCATATGGGTGCTGGTTCAAATCCTGGCAGCCCCTGCTTCCCATCCAGCTCCCTGCCTGTGGCTTGGGAAAGCAGTTGAGGACAGCCCAAAGCTTTGGGACCCTGCACCTGTGTGGGAGACCCGGAAGCAACTCCTGGCTCCTGGCTTTGGATCAGCACAGCTTTGGATGTTGCAGCCACTTGGGGAGTGAATTGGTGAATGGAAGATCTTCCTCTCTGTCTCTCCTCCTCTCTGTATGTCTGACTTTCCAATAAAAAATAAAATAAATAAAATATTTTTTAAAAATAATTTTCTATGAGGCCTTTGGTTGTCCTCATATTTGACAGAATCTACAATCATGTGTTCAGAAATATGTTGGGTTAGAGATTACTTCTAGCTGGATTTCCTAATGCTATTTTGTTATTGATGCTAGTTTTAACGAGTTATCTTCTTTCCTGTTCTGAATCTCTGAGGCACAAATGCTTCAGAATAATATTATACTTGAGAGAGACCATAAAAAATAGGCATTCTAAATTTATTTTGCTTTGTTCTTGCTTAAGAGCATCAAAATAATCTAAACTTTCTATCAAGTATTCTTTTGTACGTTTTCATTCACAGTCTTGATGGGTTCTAAGTTAGGGAGACAGTCAAATGTCTGAACAAACGTTGTTGCACTTTACACTTTTCTTTCAGTAGTGTAGATGTACGTAAGGGTTAGTGCTTAACCTATAAGCAGTGACATCATTGTTTACTAAGACTCAGAATACCGGGTTTTGTATTAACCTGTGGGACGTGCTAGAAATGGTGATTTTTGCTCTGTGGAAAGGCTTGGGTCAAGAAGAGCTTCTCTGACTCACTCTGCCGTTTTGATGACTGTCAGTAAGGATTTGACAACGGTTGTCCCTCCAGTCTTAGTTTACCATAACAATTAAGTGAAATGATCCCAGTCATCTCCTGACACTGGCCAAGACCAGCCTCCTCTGAGACAGAATCCGCCAAGCCGTTGGAAGTCTGAGCAGGCATGTGGCTCCTTACACTATTGCCTTCTTCCCTGGAAGCCGGAAATTGACATAGAAAGGCATAATCAGGCTGGAAGGATTGCAAGGTGTCTGGGCTGCTGTTCACTGCCACCGGTTTCATTTGTAACTTGTCTCAGCTAAGCAATTAAAAGTAAGCTTTCATCAGAGGAATATAGTCATCCCCCTTTTCTGAGATGTTACTTTCTGAAAAGATGCAACGGAAAATTCCAGAAATAAACAATTCATGGTATTTCTTTTTAAATTTCTATTACTATATTTTTAAAATGCATATTTTATTATTATTTGTAACCTTTTCCTGTGCCTAATGTATGAGCTACATCATCATCATCTTATGTATATAGGGAAAGTATGGCATACGGGGCTCAGTCCCATCCAAGATTCCGGCCATCCACTGAGAGTTTGGGAGCATATTCCACGTGGATAATTGGGAACTGCTGTTAGTACAACTGTTGAACAATTGTGAAGCGCCCTTTTTCTAAAATGTGAATGCCTATAGGACTTTCCTCTTATCTTCCTTAACGATTCTTTGTTTTCCTTAATAGATTGTCAGTTTGTTTTAAGATTTATTTATTTTTATTGGAAATACAGGTCAGATGTATGAAGAGAAGGAAAGACAGAGAGATCCTCTATCCTCTGGTCTACTCCCCAAATGGTCATAACGGCCAGAGCTGAGTCAATTCGAAGCCAGGAGCCAGGAGCTTCTTCTGGGCCTCCCAAGCAGACTCAAGGTCCCAAGGTTTTGGGTCATCCTCGACTGCTTTCCCACGCCACAAGCAGGGAGCTGAATGGGAAATAGAACAGGCGGGACACGAACCAACGCCCATATGGGATTCTGGCACTTGCAAGGTGAGGATTTAGCCATTGAGTCATCACACCAGGCCCTTAATTGCATCTAATTAATTGCATCTTCTTAATTGCATCTAATTAATTTGAGATTTGAAGGAAAAGGCTAGTGGTATTTTCTTCCTCCACATAATAACTCAAACCTAATGGTCAACATACAGAACGTATGTTCAGGTTAGCCAATGGGAACGTGACGGCCTTCATGGACTCACAGGTCAGGGTGGCAAACTCGGACAGGCTGGAGTGCAAGCAGCAGTCCTTGCTGCAGTGGAGACGCTGCCGCTGTGGTAACTGTTTAACGCCGTGATTTCAGCAGTCTTCCCGAGTGTTTGTCCACAGGTAACCTACTAGCCCTCTGCCTGGTATTCACATCTGGATCCCCTCCCGCCACCCCCGGCAAGGGAAGGGGCTTCCGGGTCTGCTGACTCAGCAGTCCTGATGCTCACTGTGGAAATAGCCAATAAGGCAATCCTACAAAGTGACAGGCATGAGCATGAAGCGCCGAGCAGTGTCTGCTTGGAACAGATGTCACTGTTAACTCTATCCTTAAACACACTTGGTTCTAGGTACTCAGTGGGCTATCTGTAAACGTTTACCGTATTTACATAGAAAAGATGCACATTTTTCTGTTTCGTCAGACCCAAATCAAGCTTGTGCCCTTGGTGTAAGGCCAACTCTTGTTTGTTCACATTAGAAATCCCGAGGCTGTGCTGGCCCCAAAGTGGACATGACCTTGCCCAGCCTCTCTGCTTCCCTGGGGAGTGGCTTGGATCCTGCTGCCTACGCTGAGGCCTTTGTCCCCCCGATTTCCTCGCTGGCCCAGAGGGAAGGCATGTGGAAAACACTGATGTTCAATGGGTGAAGAATGTCTTTCCTCCTCAGCGGCACCTCTGTGCCTCTTACAAGGCACGGAAACCGGGGATGGTTCATATGTAATTCCCATGAGACAGCGCAGGCATCTCAACCTTCCTTACCTTAGCTGATAGCAGATATGGTAAGCAGCCGAGCACGAGGCCTCATCGGTCCTAGCACCTTGGCAAGCATGTGTGTTTTTGAACACAGTTCTCTGAATGCTAAGATGCCCATATCAAAAGGGGATATAAATATGACAATGCAATGGGATCCTTCCTTAGTGGTTTCGCTGAAATTTGATCCGAGTGCCTCAAAGTGGGCATGTATAGGGATGGAGAGAGAGAGAGAGAGAAAAAAATCAGTTTTACTGATTTGTAACTCTGGGCTGGGGACAAGTCTGTGGTTATTTGAACACGCTTAAATTCTAGCACACTGTAGGTGCTTTTAAAAAAGAACTCTTGAATCCCCAGTGTGTAAAGGCTTCTGGGAGCTCCATAGCGTCCCCTCTTCCCGCGGGCCGCGACTGGTGAATGCTCGCTGGCCACTTCTGAACACCATTACAGGAACTTTAACAACAACAGAGGACAGGAGATCGCCATTAGTCCAACGCCTCTGTAAACAGTTATTTCAGAAGCAAATACCTCGGTGGGGGGAAATTGCCTTTATATTTCAGTTGGATTCTAGAATTTGAAAAGAAAGAGAAGTACCCATGCCTCTTGTGGAAAACACAACCAATTTAACTTCTGGAAATGATTTCACAGCTTGGAGCCCGGCAGTGCCTATTTCGGATTAAACTGTGCATTAATTAAACGCAAATGATTTCAGCATTCATCACCTTGCATTTGCACCTCCCAGAAAACCAAAACAAATGCTGGAGTTCTGAGCTGAGCGGGCACGCGGACACACACACACACACACACACACACACACACACACACACACACACACAGCGGATCCCAAGGGCACGGGCTGTAGGAGGTCAAGGGCCCCCGTGGACGCTGCGTCCCAGCGCGTTGGCAGTTGGCGACCCCCCTCGGATCCCCCCTCTGCTGCTAGCTCCCGTGGCCCGGGAGGCTCCAGGCGCCTCCAAATGTTTTCCATATTTGTTCAGCCTCCGTAATTCGAATACCAGAGCAGGCTCAGCCCGCCCCGCGCGCCGCGCTGCGCTGCGCTCCAGCGCCCAGGGCGCCGCACACGAACCCACCCAGCCACCCAGCTACCCAGCCACCAGACGCCATGGGCAAGGACAGGCAGCCCCGCGGGCAGCAGAGGCAGGGGGCGCCGCCGGCCGCGGACGCCGCAGGGCCCGATGACCCGGGGCTGAAGAAGGGCGCGGGGACCCGCGAGGATTGCGGGGACGAGGAGGCCCGGACGTGCTGCGGTTGCCGCTTCCCGCTGCTGCTCGCGCTGCTGCAGCTGGCCCTGGGCATCGCCGTGACTGTGGTGGGCTTCCTTATGGCCAGCATCAGCTCCTCCCTGCTAGTCAGAGCCACTCCATTTTGGGCTGGGATCATTGTAAGCATCAAATCTGTTTTGCCTTAAGCGCGAATGCCAAACCTGGAATGCAAAGCCGCATGGTCAAGTTGAGACTAACCCAGCTGTGCATGCTCCCTGCTCCTCTCTAACTTGCGACCTGCTTGGTGACCCAGGTGGGAGGCACATTCGGCCTCCCTGGGGTTGGGAGGCCTGGTGTCCTGCTCCTGCTTTGGAGCTCCCAGCGCCTGCAAGGGATCTGACGCTACCTTACTGGAGCTGGACAGGCCACTCCCAAAGCCTGCTGGTAAGGGTCAAACAGAGCAGCCTCCATAACCAAAACAGCCACACTGTGGCCTTGTCCTCTGGTGCCCTGGCCCCACCCTTGTTCCTAAACAAGCAGTCAAAAGTACAGTAAGTTCATAGTGCAGAAAGCAGGTGGTGGGGTGGTGGTGGGGGAAGCCTGTACCTAGGGTTGCCACACAGGGCAGTGTTCATTTTATCTTTTTAAGTGGAGGTTCCATTAGTGGATTTTATGAAATAATGTTCTAAGGCAGGAAGTAGGACTAGAGCAAACCCATTCTTAATCCACCCTAGTCTCAAGTGGGAAAAGCCAGAGTGCTGGCTGAGGCCGAGGTCTGTTCGGGACTCAGCTAACTCAGCTAATGGATATGCTGTTCCCACCAGAGCAGTGCTTAGCTGTTAGGAGTGAGTATCCTCACAGGTGCACACCTGGTTTTGCTAAATGAATGTTGGGATGTCCTTATGAACACCAGCTAGATGGCTTGGGTGTGTCGCTTCTCTTCCACACATCAGCCTGATGGGATGGTTATTATTATCATGCCTCAAATGAAAGGACCCCTCATTTGTCCCTCACGAGAGGACAGACTCACCCAGGATCTGGAGTGGCAAATCATAGGCCAGGCTCAGTCCTTGACACACCTAAGGCCATTGCATTTTCCTCCTGGAGATGCCTGGCCACCACCTGGGGTTTGGTATGTTTCTATGACATTGAAGCAGAGTGCAGAGGGCTTCCTCAACTCTTTAGTGTGTAACTTCATTTGACCCTAGAAACAGGGCTCTAAGGTTGGGGTTGTTACTTCTCTTGGGACCAGAAGGAAAACAGCCAAGAGAGGTGAATGGGGACAGACCAAACAGACTCTCCTGTGACACTATTAGTGACCACAGCAACTGTGGGGCGTGGAACAGTCCTCAAGATAATCTTGTGTCAGGGACAGACGTTAAAGACACCTGATGAATATGCATTGGTGTAGGAATTTCTTCTAATTAAGATTATTTGCCTTCACAGAATCTTGCAGAGTAATTTAAAACTTTTAATTTGTGTACTAAGAATTCCCATGAAATTATCATGATTGGAGTTTTCTAAATCAAGTGATTTTAAAAATAGCTGATCACTAAGATATTCTGGGTATTTTAGTCACCCTGGCGGCAGCTTGTCAACATACTCAGGGGGAAATCTGTCTGTCCTTTCAGGCAAGGCTTATTAGCAGAAGACACATCGAGGTATTTCCTATCCTTTCTTTAACTCAACATCACGACGCTCAGTCCCAAAGAAGCAAATTCAGTGTAGGGAGAAAATTCATCTTCATGTTTGGGGCATGGGCGGTGTAGACCTGAGGCTCCCATGGGGTGTATGTCATTTCCTGACAGCTCCCTGAGTGTGACATCAGGACCGTTGGGTACAGCCAGTGCTCTGCCCTTCTGGTTTTCTTTGTTCAGGTCTAGGATGCACTGGAAGTGTGCTCACAGCACGCAGCCCGAGTACAGGCCTCTCAGCAGAGAATCTGGGTGGAGCAGAGCAGCAGGCAGAGGCATCCCGAGACCGGTGAGCAGCCTGGCCAGGGAGGACACGCCTTTCTGCAGGCCCAGAGCTCACCCTTGCTGCATGGTGTGTGACTGCTCTCAGGAGAACACATCCAAGTGTCAGGGAAGGTAGAAGACAGGCAGGCTGCTGGAGAAGTGCAGATGGGTGATCACCATCCTCAGAGTGGGACAGAGGTCCTCCACCTCTCGAGGTTTCCCTTTCTCTATTGGCATCACGATGACAATGGTAACTGCGGCCTCGGAGTTAGATACATGAATTCATGTAAAGCATTTTTAGACAGCATTGGCTGACATCAGCATTCAGTAATTCAGTTCTTTTTATTACCCACTTCAAAGGAGAAGTGGTTCTATTTTACCTAAATTTTCATAACAAGATGTATTTATTTGAAAGCCAGAGAGAGAGAGAGAGATCTCACATACACTGATTGGTTCCCCAAATACCTGCAGTGGCCCAGGCTGGATCAGTCTACGCTGGGAAGCAGAAACTCAATCCTGGTCTCCCAACACAGGTAGCAGGGACCTAAACACACACACCAACACTTGCTGCCTCCCAGGGAACTCATTAACTGAAAGCTGGAATTGGAAATGGAGCTGAACGCCACACTGACATTCTGACATGAGATGTCATTGTCCCTAGTGGTGTCTTAACCGCTGTATTAAGCACCTGCCCCAAAATGCTCATTTTTAACTCAGCAAATGCCCCATATCACTTGTATATTTCAGTGAATTTATTTGGGTTTGTTTATTTAAAAGTTGAGGGGTTAATCCGTTGAAGCCAGGAACCAGGAGCTCCATCCATGAGTGTTAGGGAACCAAGTACTTGAATCATCTCATGCTGGCTTCCAGAACATGCATTAGCAGCAAGCTGGAATCAGTAATGGAGCTGGCACCAAAACCCAGGCACTCCAATATACAAGTGTCCCACAGGGCAGCAGCTTAAGCCACTGACCCACAGTGCTTGCCACTCCCATACCAGTTTGAATCCTGAAGGAGATATGAATTTGTCCATCTCACCTTTTTCTGTGTTCAGCCAGATTATGACTTGTAGTCTCAGATATGTGAGAGTAGTCCAGTGCTGTCTGATCTCTGTGGAGGTTTGTAAAAAGGAAGCAGAGGGTCCACCTTGGGCTTGTCTTCTCAGTAATAGAGTGATTCTGGTCTGGTATATCCTGTCATAGAAAAGCTGCTAAGGAGACTTTCAAAACCAAAGCAGTACAGGTCCATCCATGAGGCTGTAGAAGCAAACCCACTTGCAGAGTGTAGACTGGATTCAGGCTGCCTGCTGCATGCACCTGTCTGTAGTTTGACATGTCTCCATATGCCAGGGCTCTGGTAGAGCCTTGGTCATCTCCTTCCAGATGGCATCACTTCATTTTACAGGGGTTGGTAGCCATTGGGCCTGGGATTTGGGGATTGCCACTCCCACTGTAGAACCTGATCATGTGTTCATCTGCTTCCCTGACTTTTGTTGACCCATCCTGGGAGACCTGATGAATATTCAATGGACAAATACCAAAGACGCCCTTGTGGATGGTGATCACGTATTAAGGCCAGTGGAACTGTGAAAAAAACATTGGTTATTTCTTGCCTATTCACAAATGTGACTCTCTTCAGCCTCAATCAGAGAGATGACTGAAGCCTTGTTTCATTTACCCAACATTTTTATAAAGGAACTCTCAAAATCATTTATAGGTGGTTTGAGGGTTCTAAGTCATACCACAATGACAGCACAAAGTGATACAGCATCTCGGAGGATAAACTTGGCTTGGCAAGACAGGAAACCCTAGGAAACATAAATTTGTTCTATGTTGTCACCAATGAATGAGTTGATTAGCTGGGTCAGATAGGATTTGATTTGCTCATCCTGCTTGAATTCTTAATGTTGATGGATAGAAGGAATCTACATACCTTTGGGTCTTTCCCTACTTCCTACTCAAATGCACCCAGCGTTGGTTTAAGTGAAGCACTGCGTGTTTGAACTTGGGCTTGTTTGTCTTCATCCAGTGTCATTTGTTGAGGGTGTATACCACATGAGGCATTGGTATGAAAATAATGAATCATGTACCTGCAAGAGACATCCAGACCCTGATGGACACATCCCCTCATCATATCTGACAGTCACGAATACTTTCAAATTAGAAAACTTAACCTGCACAAATATTTTAAAGCCCATTTACCTTCCACAGTGTTCCACTTACAGTGATTTATTTGCTTTGGCATTTGAACTCTGAAGTCGATTTCTGAGCAGGTTTCCCGTCTCCCCTGGGGATGTGTAGTCTATTGATGCCCTCTTGGCTCTTGTGGGGAACATTCCCCTGGAAAGCGGGGGCTTCCATTGCCTCCCCGTGCTTTCAGATTTTCTTTCCTTTCCCTCATTGGTCCTGTATCCCATCTGCTGGAGTAACATCATGTTGCAAACATTAGAAAGTTTCAGATAAGGGCTTAAAAGAAAGGAAAGCATAATTCTTTATTGAATGTCATTTAGGTAGAACATATCCCATGAATCTGGAAGGACCAAGAATCCTGTCAGATGTTTCAATAATGATTTTCATATGTTAACTCCCCCTAAGGAATTCAAAATGCAGGTGTATTCAGATTTTTAAACATTTAAGTCAACTTAATGGGGGGGGGAGGGGCGCGGAATTGATGTGCTTCTTAGCTTTAGAACAGAATCCAGCATGAGCTTCGCAAGTATGTCTATGACATATAGCAAGCAATGAACAGACAGGTCATTATCCATAATTTTCAGGCAGAAAAAGACATGACAGTTTGGCTAAATGATTTAATCATGATTATAAAAAGAAATGGGAAGAGAGTAAAGTTTGGCATTGTGATTTTGGATAGAAGTTTCAACAAGTCAGGAAGCTGAAAGCGTTGACAATTCTCTGTATAGATATATTGAAGTTTGAGAAATTTAATGTGGAATTATTTTGTCAGAGTGTGGTTCATAGTAAAATAGGGAGGGCTCTTGAGAAAGTTCATGGAAAGTGCATATTATGAAAAAAGTAGGCATGGATTTCGAAACGCTTTTTTACACAGAGATAAGCCTAACTTTTAATTCGATTTTTCCACAACATTTTGCAATACTCTCGTGTGGTGGTGTCCACATTCAGTCTGGTCTGAGGACATGACTATTTTCTAGACGTTGTCTTGTTTTTAGCTTTGTGAGATTGTTCTGAAGGGTGATCTTTAATTAG